AAAATAAAAACAAATAAAAGGAGAAAAGGTTTTTGAGCTTTGTATCTAAGAATTTTTTAAATCTTCCTTAAAAGTACAGATAGCAGTTCATTGCACTTTTTTAAAAACTAATTATAAAAGCCAGGTATAGTGGCAAACACCTGTAGTCCCAGGACCTGGGGGTGGGGCTGAGGCAGGAGGATCGCCATGAGTTCAAAGCCAGCCTGAACTACATACTGAGACACTGTCTCAAAACTTTTTTTAAAAAAGTAATTATAGAGTCTCATACTTTCAAGTATTATAGGCAGCTAAGGTAGATAGAAATTAATATACAGTCAAGAGGGGGGCTTCCTTGGGCTCTCAAGGAAGTCAGTGAAAAAGATTGTGACTGGAGGCTCACTGAAGAAGGCAAGGTCTCAAGATAAAGTCACAATGGCTAGGCTTGCATACTTCCTAAGGGATAAGCAGAACTTGAGACCATACTATAATTAGTACCACCCAGCTCATTAAGCCCGGATATGCATTAGGGCACCCAGATGGGGCACCAGAACACCTGGACCCATCCCTTCCCAAATTGTTCCTGTTTAGAAGTCATAGATGGGCCAAGGTTAATGATGTCAGCCATATACCCTTGCTATGTGCCCCACTTCCCAGCTGGATCAACATTAGCTAAATGGCTATACTTGTAATGCTATAGGTTGATTATAGTTTGACCCACATTGTACCCACATTGTGACTTTGCTGTATAAATTACCCCTGACAAAGGGCCTCTGTGACAACCTACTAGGGACCCCACCTATCTCTTAGGAGCTCTCTCTCAATAAACCTTTCCTACTCTTAACCTCCTTTGTCCCTTGGAATTCATTCTCTGTTTTCAGAAGACACAAAGGGCATGTCTGACATCTGGCAGGTTGAGAGTTATATTTCTCCTTTATCATTTTGGAGGTCCCACTGTGATAACTGGAAGGAGGAAAGAGTTTGATTTTGTTTCATGGCACCCCTAAATATTTTGACTGAATTCTGGATTGTGATTTATTTAGATAATCAAAAATTGTGATCCATTGTTTGCTGATTGCTTATACCTTTTGTTGGTTGCTTGAACTGCATTAAAAGTTGAGAGCAAGGAAGATTGTGATATCTCCATATTTAGGTTTCTTTGACAAGACATTTTTATTTTTGTTGTCAAGGCT